CTTAGTACATTACAAATTTGGATTTTTAAAACTGTTTTCCATTGGTATTTTGCAGTAACTGTATAATTCTGTTTTCTACTTAGTTGCAACAATCTAACAGAATGTCTTTAGTTAATAAATGTATTAATATATTTTCATTACATATGACTCTACTCAATACAGTATATTTTAATAGCTTTAAAAGCCTGCTGAAAGTGCAGGTGTGTGCACTTCATTTCATTATCTCTATCAATCGTGTGTTACCATTTTCCCAGAACTGAACAACTGAATTTTCTTTCTGTGTCTCATTGTCATATTTATCTAAATTCATTTTTATTGTTTATCTGTTTCTCCCTACATTTTAAATAAAAATGTCTTGCTTTAGAATTTTAATCAAAATTCCAGACCATTTAGCCTTTTAATTACAATATTAACATCACATTTAGATAACATTCAAATATCATTTCATTATTGCTAATTGACTAAAACTTCTGTTCGAGGCTTTCTGCCAAGTAGTTCAAATTATTTGTTAAATTACCTTTTGCAGATATATTGTCAGTATGCATTTATTCTTGCTCTGTTTTATTATAATGATACCTTTAACATAACAATATATAAATTTATTTTTATAAACTAAAATGTCTTTCACTCTAATACTATTGGTTATCTTTAAAAATCACAGCAACTATAAATTTAAATGAATTTAAAGTCATGAGATTTGTGTCTTACTTAAAATGTATTCAGTCAGTAGTGTTTATAGAGCCATCACCATATGCCAGATATAGTGTAACTATCATAAAGAAATCCAAGCTACCTTTTTTCTTTTCCTATTTTTCAAGGCTTTCTCTTCAGGAACAACAATAATAGCCATTGCTTATTGAGAGATCCTCTGTCCCCTGTATATAATTTACATTATTTTTAATTCTTACAGCAATCCTGCAACACAAAGAAATCTTTATTTTACAGATGAGAAAACTACAGTTCTAAGAGGTGATCTTGCTCAAGATTTCAGAGCTTTCTATTGCCAAAACAAGAGTCAAGTCCTGTCCTTGTGCTTTTATCTGCAGTGTTGTTTGTGGATATTATACAGGGGCTAGTCCAATTTAGAATTAAATTTTGAACCCAAGCATATAAAATACTTCAGACATGCAGACATTTTGGATGTTAAAGCTGACATCATACCATTCTAAGAATCACAAAAACTTGACCTTGCCTGTTCTTTACATACTACTTTCAAAAGACTACATGCAACAGCATAAAAGGAACTGATGTCAGAGTAGCAATATTACTTTATATTTGTATAATTTTTGTATTGAGACAAAAATGGTTTTGTTTTATTTTTACATATGGTTTTGTTTTTATTTGATTTATTTTAGGGATATTTTTCTATTTCTATTTGTAGAGCATGCTCTTTAATTTCAGTACTAGTCAATCCAAAAAGGAGGCATTTTTTAAAAAGAAGTCAGTTTATGAAAACACTCCTCATTCATTCAAAGGAAAGTTGTTAGTATTATTCACTACCTGCTAAAACAATTCAGCACAAGCCTTCTTTTTTCTTACCCTATCAGTTGCATTATTTATGTCTTTAGGCCTTTTACCTTTCTTCTGTTCTTCCTTCTGCAAGGATCCTTCCTCAACACTTAAGGTTCTAAATATCCAGTACTTATCATTTTTTCTCTCTGATCATATAGAGGAAAAGCTGATTCAGTCTTATAAATTTTAAAACTACCTGTGTTTGCTACGCAGTGTGCAATGCAGAGTCTAGAGTATTTAGAGTCAAACCTGGATTCAAACTTCAAATCTAGTATTTAACTTTAAGACCAAGAGGAAGGAACTTATAAATCATCTCTCTGACCTTCCTTTTTCTTATCTCTAGGATATAAATTATAGTAGTGAACCTTAGGATATTGAAAATATTAAATAAGACAGTGTATGGAAAGTCAATAGCACAGTATCCCATTTTCTTATTTACTATTGGTGGGTTTACTTTTTACTGATACTTATTCATCTTAAGTGTTTTTTAATCTTTAAAATTTTATGTGTTTTTTTTTTTCTGTGCTGGAGATTGAACTCAGGGCCTAGGCAAATGTTCTACCATTGAGCTATACCCTGACCCATGGTGTTTTTTAAACTATACTGTACAAAACATTGTAATTCCTTAAATCTTAGTCATCTATAATCACATAATCACACAGACAGTTGGGAGGACAGCAAGCTATTCTGTTACCTTAGCTACCATTTTAGAGTAAGCTGGGACTGACCTCATCAAAAAGGTGGTACATATGGTCCATGATTTTATTCTCCTTTCTCCCTGTTTTTTCAAGAATCTACTGAGCCCATTAGACAGGATCTTACAGACTTTTGGAAACAGGAAGCCTGAAACTGAGTCTAACTTTTTCCAGGCCAAGACTACTACCTGATTGAGCCTCTGTTCAGGCTGTCCCTGTGTGAGTACAGGCTTTACTTGGTATTATCTTGCCTCTCAGTTTTCTTGATTTCCTTCAACTAAAACACTCAATATGCCCTAAGGCTTCCTTTGCAAAATTTTAAGCTTTCTGAAGGTATGATATTTCAACCAGCATTACAGTGTTGTATGGTTTTTAAAAATTCATTGTTCTAAAATATTTATTGTGCGCTCACCAGCAGCACAGTTTTGGGCTGTGGTACACAGATAAAGAAGGTGTAAAATATATAAGACAGTTTATCTTTTTAAGCTTGTAGTGAAAATGAAGATATATGATTAAACATCAGAATCAAATAGAAGACTAAATATCATGAGAGGCATTGGCCAAAATGGGCCCTAAGGATAAGGAGGTGGGATTAAAGATGTCACCTAGCTGGAAGGAATCCAGAAAACTTGCAAGGATACTTTTAGTCTGTTTCTTTAAGGGTAAGTATGATTCATAGGAAAAACTGAGTCTGTGACTGAAGAGTGGATGTCAGACAAGGGATATGAATGAAGAAATAGAGCTGGGAAAATGAGGGCAGGTTTTAGTTGAAATTTAGAATAGAGTATGTGAAGGGAGGCTGGAGGAGATAAAACTAGAGTTTGCAGGTCAGATGATAGTCTTCCTTTCCTTAAAACTTATGTATGGCTTCTTATCTGTTTAGAGAGAAGTGACAAGTCCCTACTGTTCTACAGGCTACTACTCACTATTTCCTCTACTCTTCAATTCCCATATCCCACTACTCTCTTCTTTGTTTTTGCTCCTTTAGCCAGATTGTGTTCTTCATCAGGCCTACAGACCTTCTATATTAGTAGCCTGGAGCTCTCTTCTCCCAGATAACTACATGGTTCCCCTGTCTTCCATATCATCTTTAATGGAGACATCTCCTTCTGCCACTCCTCAGCCACTTAATCTGATGTATTTTACTTCATAGTACTTAGGAAGTACACATATAAGGAAGTTTCAGTCCATAACTGGCTGGCTCCGAGACAGAGTGTCACGTGGCAACAGTTCATGGTGGGCAGAAAGTAGCAAAGTAAGAAGGGACCAGAAAATCCTCTTTCTGTCCCTTAGGTTATATCTAGGCTACTGGTATTGAGGTGATACCAAATCAATCGGTGAACTGATAATGTATTCATCTACCCTTAATCCTAGCATTGCACTATGAATCAGTCACACTCTAGATTCAGCCACCTTTGGAAAAGCCCTGCCTATGAATGCATGAGGCTTTGGGCGGACATCTAGACGCACGCCATAACAGGAGCAGCAAAGGGGTATAAGGGAAGGAAGGAGTTGAACATGGATCCTGCAGAATTTTGCATATCAGACAAGCATACAAATTTTGTTTCCCTAGTGAGTTGCTGTTGAAAAGTTTGAATAGGAGAATGAAAACAGAAATACAAGTATTTGGTTTAAAAGATTAAGTTGGTGGTGATGTGTAAATTAATTCTTTAAAAAGTCACATCAACCCCCATCCCTCTTCCCAATCCAGCATTCTGTAATGTAGCTATACGTGTATTTTGTTTTAGACCATTTTAATTTTGAAATCATTTGACTCAAAAGACATTGTTAAAATAATGTAGCAAGTTCTCTTTGTGTACTTTCCCTTCAGTGGCAATATTCTGTCCTACTGTAGTATATTGTCACATACTGAGAAGGGAACTTGGTGTGTAATACTATTAACTTAGGTACAGATCTTATTCAAATTTAATGAAATTTTATGTTTTGTGCAGTTCTGTGAAGTTTTATCACATGTGTTATTTAATGTTTCTACATCTGATTTTGAAGTTTCTGACAAAATGTTAGGAAATATGCTGTTTATTACTAGTGTCCTGGATTTTGGTCTCCCATCATTTATATATGAATAAAGTGAATAACCTACGACTTTATTGTTTGTTCTACATTGGTGTTTCTTGTAGGCAGGTAACTTTTCTTCTCTGTGCTAAAGATGCCTTTCAAGTTTTACTTCACCAGTATTGATGTTATATTATTTACTAGGTCTTAATATCTTACTTTTATTTTAAAGCCATTACATCATTTCTTTATGTTTGTAAATATTTAGCAATGCTTTATATCCTTTCTAATAGCAAAATCATTCCATAAGACAGAATTCTGGTTTTTTTCCTTTGCCTACCCAGCCCTACTCACTAGAAATACATTTCTGATAAGTAATTTATTAGTAATTTCAGAGTTGGGAAGAGGGATGAGTGGCAGGGAGATTTACTACTCCTTTAAAATCCTTGCTTTATCCTTTCGAACTTCTAGCTTTTGAAGTTAATCTTCCCAACAGCCCTACTCACTGGTTTTTATATATTGTAGGACATATTTAACTTGAAATGATGTACAGATTTTCCAAAGCCAAGTGTTAAAGTTAAAATCTTATGGTATAATTCCTGTAGCCATGCTTTATATATTTATCTGTCTTCTAAATGAGATGTATATGTGCTATATATACTAGCATAGATTTGTATGTTGCTTATATTTGAGGTGGTGATTGATAGTTTCTGAATTAATATATAGTACAGCGTGTGACAGCTGAAGAAAAACCAGTCTGTCTTGGTATATTTCTCATAGGTTCTGAGTTCTATTCGCACAGAATGGGATCCACTGGATGTTTGCTTCAGTGCCAAGCAGCCTTTTCAGGTGTTTACAGTGGAACACACCATCAGTGTAGACAAAGAGCCCATGGCTGACAGCTGCATCTATGAATGTGTTCGGAACAAAATCCATTGTGTATCAGTCACCAGAATACCACTAAGATCGAAAGCCATCAGCTGCTGCAGAAATGTTGCTGAAGACAAACTGATTCTGGGCTGTGAAGATTCTTCATTAGTTCTTTATGAAGCTCACCGCAGAGTGACTCTCTTGGCCCAGGCTGAACTTTTGCCTTCATTAATAAGCTGCCACCCAAGTGGTGCTATTCTGCTTGTTGGCAGCAACCAAGGGGAGCTGCAAATTTTTGATATGGCTTTGTCCCCTATTGATATCCAGCTCTTGGCTGAAGACCGCTTACCTAAGAAGACTCTGCAATTCAGTAAATTCTTTAATATTTCCAGCAGTCTTGTTCAAATGAAGTGGATAGCTCCTCCAGTTGTTTCTCAGAAGCCTGAAAGTAAGGACATCTATGATCGCCTCTTCCTCATATTTGACAGAGGACCTTTAGGTGTTCTTTTGTTTAAACTTGGTAAGTCAAGAAAGTTGGTAAGTTAGTATACTACTGATCATATTGACATATCTAAAGCAATATAACTATTCTTGGAATGTTTTTATATTTGTCATTCATATAGCTTTCTTAGAAAGCCTTTGTGGATGATTCCTAAATGTCAAAGGAATATTAGATATTAAAGAATTTAGAAATTTTACTAATTGACCATCATGACATTTAAAAAGTATAAACTTTCACATTTGATAACTCTCTAAAATAAACTGTCCTACTAAAACATTCCCTAAGAAATAGGTGAATATTTTAAAAGTTTCTCCTACCTCCATTGAAAAACACTTACAGGAGTGTAACACTTTTTGTATAAAAATTGTTATAGATCATCTGTGGCTGTTGCTTTCCTGTGTAGAACTGTGAAGCAAGTATTTTTATAAAAAAAAAAGAAGGCAGATACTTAGAATTTACTAAAGCTGTTTGTGTTAACTTTTTAATCTCCCTTTTGAATAAAAATATTGAAAAGGATTTTTCAGTATCTACAAAAGTATATGTTACTGTAGCTCATTTCAACCAAGAAACTTTAAAATGAAATTTTATTATGATAATTCATTTGCTTTTTGTAGCATTACATCACCACACATCTCCTAAAATAGCAATAACAATTCTAGATACTTTTGTATAATTTAACATCTGAAGAGGACCTAACTTAAGTTTTAAAAAATAAATTTTAATTAATACACTTATGGCAATTTGAATAGATGGAAAAATAAATACATTTTAACACCTCTAATAAATTTGCCTGTTACAGTTTTTAAAGGCATTGTGGTATTCGTTAAGTAGCACTCAGTTTACTCTGCTTTTATATGAGTGCACTTGTCCCTGAAGTTGAACACACGAAAGAAACCCAGTGAAAAAGACTTGATTAACCTATAAGATATAATGCATTTAATGTATGCCCTATATTCCTTCTACATAAGAAAAATGCAGGTAAGTCTATCCATAATGTTAATAATTATTCAAGAAAAAAATCTGTGGAGTGTCATTTATTATGAGATAATCCAGTTATACTTTGCCCAACTTACATGTTTAACAGTTGTATGTCTCCATACACAACACTAATTAAAGTGGGTGTTTGATGTTTTGCATGTCTGTTAAAACACACACATACATTCTCTCTTTCCTTTTCTCTCTTTCTGTCTCTCTCTGTCCCTCTCACCCTTTAAATTACTCAGTTACCTGTCAAACAGAAGGCTGTCTGCCCACATACACCTAGCTTTTCTTCAGCCCTCCCTTGTGGGCCTACTCACAACAGATTTGCAAAAAGCACAGCTTTCTCTTCCTATCTCTAGCACATTTGCCTTCTTACTAAAGTAAACAGGCTCTCAGTGTAGGGATTTAGAGGGCTTCCTGCTAATTGCCAGCTTGTAAACTTAATTGGACTGTCTCCCTGGGCACTGTTCCTAAATCAATTAGGCAATGAGTTGGCTGTCACCTCTTTTTCCCAAGAAGGTCTCTTGGAAGAGAATTATCCAATAGAAGTCAAGCATTCAAATGAAAAGGTGATAACTTCTGCAACTGACATTTTTATTTTCAATATGACTTAAATTTTATAGGATAGAGAAATTGTACTCTAGCCTCTTTAAAAGATCTAAAAATGGAATTGATTTCTAAAAATTTTTAATGAATTATAAAATTAATATTTATATGAAATTATTTTTCCTGGGAAGAGTATATTCCTTCAATAGTAGATTCCAACTAGCAAAATTTTTAAAGAAGAAAACTCAGTTTAAAGAACAGATTTTTCTTATGATTTGCTACTAAATACATCCAAAAATTAATATACTTCTTGAATTAACACAGTGCTGATTCTGGGCATCCATGTGGAATTTTCATGTATAATTCAAGTTACTGCATATGTAAACAGGTAGTTTCATGTGCAGTTTTCCCACTAGAGAACATTTATGAGATTTTTTTTCAGATGCTTGTTATGCAAGCCTTTGGAAAATTTGACATGAAAGGTGTAGCTTGCAATTTAAAATTGTAAATATAGATCATAGATCATAGTTTAAAATAGAATGTAGTCATAATGTAAACATGGCAGTGACTGATGCCAATATGCTAAGATTTTTGGAGTTTGACTCTTAGATTAGGTCAGTTAGTGTAACATTGAAAGAAAACTCTGTTCCATGGGTAGAGTTTCCATTCTTAGTCCTTACAGATATCACACAAAAATGTTGAGTATTACAACATTTAGAAGATTCCAAATACATGTCTTCCTCAGGAAGCACTAGAAGTGTCAAGCTCCTACTAGGAAGCCAAGAAACACTGCTTTATATAAAGCAGCATGTACACTATTCAGAATTCCTTATGTGACAGTTATTATCTTATATTTCTACATACATAGACTGAGGTTAATTAAAAAGGAAGAGGCCCTAATTGTGCTACTAAGATATGAGCACTCTTCCATTCTCTTCACAACCTTTCCCAACCTTCATTGCTCTTTAACTCACAGGATCAGCTGCTTCTTTTCTCAACAGATGCTTTTACTTTTTAACTGTCACTTCATTAAGCTTATCAGCACCTTTCCACCTCTCAACCACTTCACCATTATCATAAATCTTTTTCTTAGAAGTTACAGAAAATAGTGTTTCTTGTCCATGATTAGTTTCACCACTGCATCTACTGTGAATACCACAGCATTATCTTGGAGACCTTTACTTTGTCATTTTATTTGTCCCACATTAGCAGGTAAACAGGCCCAAGCCACACCTTGAAAACCAACTCTTCATTGTGTGTTTCTCCTCTGTTACTCCAGATGTTCACTTTCATTTCTTAGCCAAAATCATTGACATAGTAGTTAACAGTTATTGAATTCCTCTGCTTCTTCACTTCACTTTACTCCCCAGAGCAGTATATTCTGGTTTGTATCTGAAGTGTCTTAGAACTGCTCTTGGAAAGGTCATCACTGACTTCCTACATGATAAATATATTTGTCTTGCACTTGATAACTTTTCAGTATTTGGTGGTTGCTGACAATTCCCTGTCATAGAACCCTCATCATATTTGCCTTTTATGACCCCAAATGCAAAATCTCCTCGCTGTTTTACAATGTTCTTTTGCCTACTCATAAAAATGCTGGGGTTCTTCAGGTTACTATTTTTAGTTCTTGTCTCTTGTACAGGTTGAGAGTTTTATTTTTAACTCAGCTATATTCTGTGGTTTGAATTTGTTCTGCAAAAATTGTGGTGAGATTTAATTGCCATTCTAACAATACGAAAAGATGGGACGGTTAAGACATGAGTAGGCCATGAGGGCTGTACCCTCATGAATGGATGAAAGCCATTATTGTGAGAGTGTTTTTGCTAGAAATTTGCTCCTATCCTTCCTGTCTGTCTTGTCCATGTTCACTTGTATTACTGCCATGTTATGATATACAGCAAGAAAACCCTCACCAGATGCTGCTTTATTTTGGTTTTCCCAGCTTCTAGAACCACATGAGGAATAATTTTCCATTGTTCATGATTTACCCATTCCATTATAGTAGAAGAAGATGGACTAAGATATTCTTCTGTCAGCCCAGATCGTTTCTAACTTCATATCCACAGATTTATCTTACTTGCTGGCTACTGCTCAGACTCATCGTGTCATTGTCACTCTCCTCAAACCTGCTTTTAATGAAATCCTTGTTATTTTCTCCAAACTTAGTTTTCCTGTTGTATGTTCCATTTTGGTGGTTATTATATCAGATGAAATCTCTTAAGTCAAAACTCATCCTACAGTACTCCCTAACCTCCTGTATTTTATCATGATCAAGTAGAAACCCTTTATCTGTACTCTTCGGCCTTCTAATTTTTTCATATCCCTCTGCCTCATTAATACCAAAATTGCATCAGAGTACTCATTCTAACGGTACAGATTTGTTATGGATTCTCTAGCTTGAAATGCCTTAGTGGTGCATCAGCCTTTCTCTGCTCCTTGGGCTTCGTCCTCCCAGCTGAGCTGTACTAAAATGCTTCCTTCCCACTCTCTCCTTCCGTGATGGAGGTAATAGTTTACTCTCTGCTTGAAGTGACCCTTTGATATGTTCACAGAGCCTGCAGTGTTAGGAAAAAATTAAATAATGAAGTGATAATGTTAAACAAGTTAACACGCTCGTAGAATTTTGGAAATGGCAGGTGATATGTGAGTGAGTGTGTGTGTGTCTGTCTCTGTCTCTCTGTAAAAAGCCAGAAATATGACTTTTGTCTTAGGAACTTTGTAATATATATGTTTTCATCAAAAGTTACTTTTATGCATTATTTCAATATTATACTTTGCATAAATGATGATCAGTGGTAGTTTATTGTTGGAAAGAAATTTCAGGTACTTTATTTAATGCCTAGTCATCTTGAAATTAGAATCTCTTATTTAAAATGAACTTTTGTTCCAGATAGCATTCTACTTCTTCACACCAGAATGATGGTTTTAAAAATCAAATCTATTGAGATATAATTTACATAAATATACAGTTCAGTGAATGTACAGTTCAGTGAATTTAAAAATGTGTATTCCCATGGTTTACCACTCTACAGTCAAGATACAGAAGATTTCCCTCATCTCAAAACATTTTCCCAAAAATCTTTGTTGTTAATCGCTACCTCCCTCAAAGTTGGAAATTATCTGCTTTCTGTCACTAAAATCAGACTTCTTTTTTATAGACTTTCACAGGATCATATAATGGACCCTCTTTTGTATCTTGGTATTTTCACTCCACATTAATGTTTGAGAATCTTCTGTATTAGTGTATGTATCTATTAACTCTTCCTTCATAATATAGGTAAATTTTATCCCTTCACATTTTTATAAACACTTGGGTTGTTTCCAAGCTTCAGTTAATGGACTAAAAATATAAAAGTCTTTGTATTGACACATATTTTCATTTTTCTTGGGAAAAACCTACAAATAGATAATGTCTGGAACATATGCTACTTTAGAGAAACAGGCTAGCCAGGGATTTAGCTCAGTAGTTCTATAGCCTGCTTCACAAG